TTGACATCACTCAGATGCAAAGATGAATAACCAAGGAGTAACCTATGCAGAACTGAATGTAGCCAAATCCTCAAAGAGGCAGCAAATAAAACATACAGGCACTAAAAGTGCCATTTCAATAACCGAGCAGGAAATAATCTACGCAGAACTAAACCTTCAGAATGCTTCTCAGAATCTCCGAGGGAATGAAAAGAACTACCACCGCAAAGGTAAAACATTTCATAGTGGCACAATGGAACTGTTCTGGGATATGCAGGTGGGGTGCAGAGGTGTGGAGAAAGAGTGGGGGATAAATTCACATATTTTCTGTTTTGAGGAACAGAACTTGAAGTCGGATAATGTATTCTACTGTGAAATGGGAGGACTGATTTTGTTCTGACATTATAGTAATTTGTAGTCTTTGATCAACAACTCATATAGGGTTATATTTGCTGGGAATGCAATGGCAGATAGGGGTTTGGGGTCCCAGTTTATATATATGACTCCTTGTGCATGTGGGTTCTCTTGTAAGTAAACTTTCTAAACAACTGTCTCCATCACTCCTTTCTCGGTGTTTCCATTTCTCTCCCTGCAGATTTCCCATCATTTCCAGAGAAGGTCATTTCTGGAATCCTTGGAAGCATCTGCCTTGTCTTGATGGTCACGGTGGTAACAATGATAGTTGTTACTCCTTGTGAGTGAGATTTTGAAAAATTGTAAGGGCACTTTTCACTTTAATGACCATCAGTGCCTCTAAATACTTCATAATATCATGAAATAGACCTCTCATTAAAATGTATGCATTTAGGTTAAATGTGGAATGATTATTCTGAATTTGTCAAAAGTATACAACACAGAATAATTATTATAAAGAGTACATACACATATATTCTGATTTCATAACTTAAAGACATGCTTTAGGAGAGCGAAAGACCTTACTGAGAAATACAGATTAATTCTTGAGATTGGTTAAAGCAAATACTGAAAGAGATGATGAAGTCTGTTATTTAGGCTTTTGAAATATTTTTTTCCAGCAAATCTTCATTGCTTAATTAATTTTCCTTAGTAAAATCAACTTTATTCCAGGTTTGTCTAATCCTAAACAATAAACCAAATTTCAAGCTAAGAAACTAAAATTATTGTAATTTATTTAGATCAGTATTAATTTGTATCATAATTAATTTTGTAGCTACTGTAACACCAGAGCAGAATAACTCCTCTCCAATAACAAGGCTCCGGAAAGGTACATAATGATTTTCAAAGTTCTGATATAAGTACAGTTTCTATTTTGTCTCTATCTTAGGCTGGTGAAAATAAGTGTAGATTTTGGGGGAGAACATAAATTATAAAATCAGGCAACAAATATTCATAAATAATGATTATAGGAGAGTTGTTTCTCCCTATGTAACAGTATGATCACAATACTATTGTTGCCAATTGGCTCAATTTCTTCCTGCTGGAAGACACAAATAATTGTGCTTTTCTAAAAAAGTCGTTGCACTTCTTGATTTTTTCAGGACGTCTAAAAAACGGGTATTTTTTTAAATGGATATTTTTGTGTTTTCTTTATATGGAGACATAAATTAGGGGATGAGAGACTGACTCTTTGTGAGTGTGTGTATGAGTGA